TGGCATAATATTATGAACGGTACTAATTGTACTGCAAACACAAAATTAAAAATCAATTTTTAGTGTTCGAAGAACATTACTTGGTTTAAAATAAGGTAGATAATAGGTATATATTTCCTCAGATAGAATTTTTTTATACTTTGCCAAAATAAAGATTTTTCTATGTTTTTTCCAAAAATATAATAAAAAGTATGGGTCACCGTGCTATTTTTCAAGCTACGGGTTGTACGAAATTGCACAAACTTGCTTAGATTGTTCATGAAAAAACTAATTTTTGTGCTCAAAAAGAAATCTATGAGATAGAATTTTGAAATATAATATGAGAAGATAGGTTTTATAATATGCTTTAAGAAAATAATTAGAAAAAATGGTGTCACCGAACTTGTTTTTCTTGCTACAAGTAAAAAAATAAAATTTCCCTATCAGTCCAGTATAATATTTTGACTAAAAGAATTGTCTCCCCTTAAATGACCAAGCTGAAAAAATGGTTCTTAAAATACAATTATTTGGTATTTATTTAAACATTTTGAATAATGCAATAAATCACCAAGTTTTCTTTCATTAAATAAACAGTCTAACCTATAAATTGCCTATCTATCTCCAAATTTGCAGATTTGGGCAAAGATCTAGACCAATTGTGTACTGCGATTGTACAATCCAAGATGGCGGTATACCATGAATCTCAAAAGGTCTTTACAACCTGGCATAAAAAAAATCGTACATTTTTGTTTATTATTCTTAAGTAATTCCTTTGTGAAAACATGGAAGACATAACAAAAACACATATTACCTCTAAAACTTGATAAGAGTAACTATAGAATTGGTTTTGTATTATGTAAGAATTTTTATACTTAAAACTTCTAAAGACGGTTGATTTGTTTCTTTTGCTTTGAGTTAATATAATCACAGATTTTTATTTGAATTTAAAGGAAATAAAATCATTGTGATGTCCTAAGAAATTTGATGAGATAGAAAATATTTTAGTATTTGGTATTATTTCACAGTATTGGTATGATCAATGGGTTGAAGTGGACACCAAGAAAGGACGTTTCTTTAAAAATATCTGCCGAATGACTGCTGAACGGAACAGAAATATCCTCAAAACACAGGACTTTTCTTTGTGTGACCTCTTAGCCATGGCTTTAGCTATAGATAATCAAATTATAACGGAATATTTACATGTGTGGTCAACTGTGGAAATGGGTGGAGTTCATACCAGGGGTCAGCTAATTTCTGACTGGCGAAATAAAACTAAAAATCCTCCAAACGTTAGAATAGTTAAGAAATTTAGTATCGAGAAGGCTAAAGAATACTATATGTCTATGGTTCTCTAACTAAGAAAAGTATGAAGTTTATACGAGTTGAATAAAGTGTAGACTGTCAAACAACGATACTTTTTTTAAATTTCTACATTAAATGAAAGACAACCATAGTAATTGATTAACAGCAATTTTTTTTTTATGTCAAAAATAATAGGATGGGTACTTTAAGCAGGAACTTCTCTTATTTTGTTACCTTTTGGTTTAGTTCATTTCGTAAACGTATGGTTTCTAATTGCTTCATTGATATCTTATATTTTTCGAAGTTTTATTTTTGGTTTCATTGCTTCCAACATTTCTATATAGATTCTACCACTGCATCGAGTGTGATACGATATTTATCCACTCGAGACAGTTAAATTTTCAAATTTAAAACGCGAGGCTCGCCGAGCGTTTTAAATATTTAAAATTTAACTGTCGAGAGTGGATAAATATCGTATTACACGAGATTTGGTTGTGGAATCTGTTTCTCTAATGATTTTCAAACAATATGCAGGCAAACTTATTCCTTCATTTTGAATGATCTGCAAAAAGATGTGTTCTTCTATGTGACGTCATCAGGCATGGTCGCCTTTTTTCATGCCGTCACAATAGGAAATTCAGAGGAAAGCGAGAAAATTCGACGTCATAATCGGATTTTAACCAATGAAGTACTGAGATCAAACGAACCACACGTTGATTAAATTTTTTTTATACAATGGGTGCAGAAAGGGATAAATTGACGAAGAATTAGAGAAATATATTTATACAACCCTGACTTTCTTAGATTTTTTGCTTTGATCGTTCATCCTGAGGGTAAATCTAGAAAAAGTTCTTGGCGATATTTATACAGTGCTTCTTTTCCTTTTTCCTTTTATTTCAACCTGTTTGGCTGTGATTGTCTTTGAAATTTATTTTTTAATCTAGAAAAATCGTCTTTGAATACTAGTATATCAAATCAGTGTATATATAGATATTGGAGACAATATGAGTTTACCGATGAGTTTACCAAAGCTCGTAAGTCAATTAAGAACATACAAATCAGGATTAAAACATATTAGGCGTAGCGCACTCAGATATTTTACCTACTAAACAAAGAACTTACGAAAAGCTAAAGTGGCGGTTCGCTCAAATGTATATGAACATCTCTATATAACTTGGCATTTTCATGTGCCACTGCTATTCAACGAATGGCGAATGTTTCATATCGCAATTGTAGATATTACACAAAGTATGCTATTACCAAAAACCACAAAATATGTTCATTGAATAGATATAAGCATGGTTCAATAGTCACAATACTTAAAACTTAATAATGCCAAGTAAACCGACATTCATCTTTTAAAATTTTGACCTCTGTTTTGACCACGGCCACAATGACACTGAGCAATGAATTTCAGCTCTATTTTATTTTCATCAACTCTTAAACATGAAAATGTCTTTCATTTTTTATACTCACAATTAAGGAAAATTTTCTCCATAAAACACAACATAGAAATCGTTCCAAAACAAAGGATTCAAATTAAGGTTTACAACGTATGTACTGTAAATTCAGTAATAATTGCGTGCATTTATTATTGCGATTTTAATTTGAAGAATAAACAAACATGCTAGATTAATTATTGCGATTTCATGAAACTCTGTATAGAGTTATATGTATCTGATATCAGAATGCGAGTTCTTATTTTTGCGATACTCACCCAGTCGCATTATTCGCATTAATAAAAACCTCGCAATAATTTCTAAATTTACAGTAACAGGTACCGCTTCAGTATATAACATGTATAAAACACTACTAATAAGCTATCATACAAATAAAGGTAATTAAAAGAGGCAACAAAAGCTTGAAAGCTTCAACTTTCAATGTCGAACAATGAAACTTAATCTTACAGGAATTTACAATCTTACCATTTACAAAAATATTGTAATGACTACACCAAAACATTTAATATTCTAACAAACGGACATAGAGGAGAGGGAAAGGATACATTGACAACGCCAAGGCAAAACCAACAGTCTATAGAACAAAACATAGTAAACGAAAGACTGAGCAACAGAAAAGAAAGCTTTTACAGTTGAAGCATGCATGATACTTTTTAGGCTTGATAAATTAAACAAATGTGACAAACATTAACAGTTTTCTATACACTAACACCAACAAAAGTCTATCCTCCCATAATAACGCTTAATTGAGTTTTAAATATAGTGCGAGACATGTATTTGATGAAAATTCGTCATCATGTACGTTTCAAAAATTTTAACAGCCAAACACAATGATTCCTTTATCAAAGACAAAAAAAAACACTTCAACAGGACAACCATATGATACTAATCGTAACATTAACTGATGGAATTGCTCCCATATTTCTAGTTCGCTCCCTTATTTCTAGTTTGGACACATTATTTACATGATGTTTATTGAATGCGTTTAACACACATGAATTGTCTAAAATTAACCAATTATTCTAGAATCATTATCCAACAAAATGTGGATAAAATTCAACCCCACTATCATTTTGTCTTTTGAAACACCGATATTTTTGTGAGGTTCGTGTTGCTCAGTCTTTACTTCTCTGTTTAGTGTTTTTCTAGACTGTTGTTTGTCTTTTTCAAATGTTTTTGTCGTTTCGCTTTTTTTCCATGATTTTGTCGGTGTTTCTTCGACTTAGGAATTTTGATTGTCCCGACTCTTAATGACGTGAAATATAAGAAAAGTCAAACCGAAGGTCACTTCTTAGCATCTTTTACCTCACAGGTAAACATTTCTGTATTTATAAGACAAAAAGAAGGAACTAAATAAAATAAAAATTCGTAAGGGTTCCGCGGAACCCAGTGTCTCGCCTACTTTTGCTGTTAATCGCAGGCTTAACAAAAATGAGGAAAAAAATCAATAAAAATATTCCTTTAGATACTATCTTTTGATTGTAAGAAGCTTCTGTCAAAATTTGGTATAAATCCAGGATAGTTTATGAATCTAATAAATGTTTTAAAAACTTTAACTGCAGACTGTATTTAATGTTAACTGGAAGAAAAACTAAGTCCATTTATAAGTAAAATACGGATAAACAGGTACAAAATTTTAACAAAATTTCCTTCTAGATACTAGCTTTTGATCATAAACAAGCTTCTCTCCAAGTTTGGTACAAATCCAGGATAGTTTAAGAAAGTTATTAAAATTTTAAAAACTTTAACCACAGAGTGAATGTATTGTTTCCTGGCAGAAAAACTAAGTCCATTTATAAGTAAAATACGGAAAAAATGAAATTTTGTTTTAACAAATCTACTTCTGGATACTATCTTATGATCATAAACAAGCTTCTGTCCAAGTTTGGTACAAATCCAGGATAGTTTAAGAAAGTTATTAAAATTTTAAAAACTTTAACCACAGAGTGAATGTTATGTTTCCTAGCAGAAAAACTAAGTCCATTTACAAGTAAAATACGGAAAAACAGGAATTTTATTTTTACAAATTTACTTCTGGATACTATCTTATGATCATAAACAAGCTTCTGTCCAAGTTTGGTACAAATCCAGGATAGTTTAAGAAAGTTATTAAAATTTCAAAAACTTTAACCACAGAGTGAATATTTGTGGACGCCGCCGACGACAACGACGACGACGACGACGACGACGACGGAATGTAGGATCGCTATGTCTCGCTTTTTCGACTAAAGTCGAAGGCTCGACAAAAAGAACACAACAGAGAAAAAAATGTCTAATAGATTAATGCAATACGTTTTGATATATTGCTTTTAACATTTGATTGTTTCAGATAATGAATTGAGATTTTTAAAACATCAAAATAAGAATAGAAAGAGCCATTGAATAAGCGTCATGTTAGATGATATATCTTACGACTAATAGCATTTCGATGCCTTGTTAGTGACTGATAGTCACACATAGAAAGGTATTGTAAGACCTGTATTAAAGAAAATAAAGTTATTCCTATGTTGCCAGACGGTCTAAATATCATTGGACACAAGTCCAAAGCAGTACCAATCCTACTTCAATGACGCAAACTGTTCTTTCTAAATCTCCTCACAAAGCAAACACATAAATATGATAGCAAATTTATTAAGACACAGTCCTAGTATCATCTGATCTGTCTCAAACTCTCCAATCTCAAAATATTTTGCTGTTTAAAAAACCGACTTTTCTAATTTGTCTTGCTGTGATTCTCATTTGGAAATATTTGATTTGTTAGTTTTTTAATTGTAATCAGATCTATAATTCCTCTTCTATGCATTGATAGCGTCTTTGATTTTCTCCCAGAAAATTACATTTCCGTGCACATCATTTGGATATTCAATATATGTTTTTTTCTGAATAATTTCATATAAAACTAAAGGTAACTCCTCAGGTTGCAGTTGCTCATAAAACACAAGAAAAATTAAACTTTTGTCTTTCTTTCTGTGAATGCTTTCCATTCTCGCCATATTCAATTCAAACATGCAATAGTCGGATTCGATAAAAGACCTCGTTATGATGCAGATTGTTTTTCGACTGCTTTGGATGGCTTGGGTGATATTGTTAGTAATGGCTGCTCCCGGTAGAAAGTCTCGATGATGTATACATAGTTTAAGATGTCCATCCCGTTCAAGATTATCAATACAGTCTTTTGTAACAAACGTTTGAATTTCGTCGGAGTAAGATATAAAAGCATCGTAGACGTATTGTCCACGATCATTCATGTTTTTTTGTGAGGCATATCTCAATTTTGCTGTATAGAATAAGTAGCGGAGTTTCCACCTGTGTCTATAAATGAGAGCTGCTATTAAAAATGATATGAAGCCAAATAAAGCAAAAGACACGCCAACTACCAAATGAGAATGATTTACGCAGTTTGTTTGAAAATGAAGTATAATGTCTTCAAACGAATTTGATATTGACAGGCTCCCGTTTTCTAGAACGCATTTGTATTGATTAAAATTTACAAAATGTTCACGAACATTAATCATCCAATTCAAATAGGGAAGTAACGAGCAGGCACAGTGTAGGGGATTTCCACTGAGGTTAATTTTCATATCGATATTTTTTTTAAGAATGCGATCTATATTCTTCATTGAACTATCACTAAAAAACTGTATTGAGTTATTTGCAAGATTTAATATCTCTAAACTAGTCTGGTTTAATAAACCTACGTCGGCATGTTCAAGGAAATTATTACTTAAGTCAATGACTTTTAAGTGCGGTTGGTCATTGAATATTTGAGAATGAAGATTATAAATTGAATTTTTTGAGAGAGAGATGAACTCAAGTCTACTTGTATTCGTCATCATATATGTATTGTTCGCTAGATAATTTCCGAGTTGGTTTCGATCGATTTTAAGTGTTGTCACGTATGTAAGATTCAGCGATATCAGACGAAAACCACAATTACTGAAAGCTAGACTTCGAAGACTAGGTGGTGCCCATATACTACGCTTTTTCGGGAAAACTACTGCGTCTTGGTTCTTTGTAAAATACAATTCACGAACTGGTGTATTGTAGAGTGCATTATTTATTTGTTCCCATGGAAATGCTTGCCGACTATCCAGAACATAGCCAACTTTAAAAATCTGAGTTGATGTGTCGGTCATCCGCCGATTCCCTGAATCTATCTTCCTTCCTTCAGTGATATCTACATCTAATTCTAAAACTGTCAGTCTTCTGAGCTTGGAAAATGTTCCTAACCCATCGATTCGTAGGCGTGAGCACTTGCTGATATAGACACTAGTCAAATGTTGTGTATGCTTGAATGTATCATTATTGAGAGACACGGTACCACAAATACTAAAATTGAGTGTTCGGAGATTTTGAAGTGAGGAAAATCCCTTTCCAAATAACTGCCTGTCACGATCCACAGAACTGACATCTAACACCAATACTTCTAACAGAGTCAGATCTGCAATTGTTTCATCCGGGAAAATGTTAGGCCTTGATTGAAAATTATTGTTTCGAATAGAAAGCTGTTTCAATGACTTTAAAGGCTTAAAGCTTCCTTTTGGAAGTTGTTTTCTATTGTACCCCAAAACATTTTTGTCGAGATCTAGATGTACAAGGTGTTCAAGCCCGGAAAATGTCTGTTGATTTATTGATGACAAATAGCAAAATGATATATCAAGCTTTGTTAAGCTTAACATATTTTCAAAGGTATTATTTGGTATGTTATAGATAATATTGTTCCCTAGATTAAGAATTTGCAGGTGTCGAAGACCAGTGAATGACTGCTTTGTATATAAAATCAATCTGTTGAAAGACAAATCTAACGTTATAAGATTTGTCAAGTTTTTGAAGGTATTATCTGGTATTTGCTCCAGGAAGTTGTGTTGTAAATAAAGGTGAACAGTATTGTCTGGCAAACGTGGAATACTTGTTAAGTTTCGATGGGAACAGTCTATGTACAGTTCTGCTTGATCGGTAAAACTTGTACATGGGAATGTCAGATAATATTTGACTGACTCTGTTTTGACATTGTCTATTATGAAACATAACAATAAATAAAACTGTAAAATTATGATGAATTTCATTTCGATCTCTCTTCACTTGCCTGTAAACAAATCATTAAAAATAATTCATAATTTACCATATAGATCTGAATTAAACGACACATATTCTTTCTGTTCAGAAATTAAACAATGACCATTTGAACAATGACTTCGTAAACAACGATGACATTCCTATCGTACAATACCATTTCTGATGTTTTTGAATTTGGCTTTCAACTGTTATGATTTGAGACCCTCTGATGAGAATTAATCAAACGAAAAGCGCATCTGGCATACAAGTTATAAGCTTAGTGTCTTAAATGAGTTTATTTCCTGAATTTGTCAATTGAAGGTTTTTAATTGTCCTTCAAATCGAAGAATTTGTGTTGACTGCACTTATAAACAAATTGATACATGAATACATTAGTAGTTTTCAAAGTTAAACGATGCAAAAGTAAACATTTAAGCGAGACATCTTGTAAAGTCGTGGTGTTCAGTTACATTTTACTTTTATATTACTTTGGAAATTTGTTGATGATGACAGTTTTGTAAAAGTCACTGTTTTTATTCACAATTACATAGTGCTGTGGAGTCTGAAACTTTTCTACTTTTGAACATTGTATGTCGACATATGGATGTTTATCGGTCGTTATGTTGTTGCCTCATTGGCGTACATTTAACAGTTTCCTTTTTAAAAGAACATACTATAGACATGTAGGAACAATATACCAAAGATGGACAGATAACAGCACGGGAAAAAGAGTTAAATCCATAAATGGATAAATAGATTGATCAATTGATGATTATGATTAACACATAGTATATCATTGGTTTTTCATTAATGATTTTGTACTTTTGGAACAATTTTGTATAAATTAAGGGCGACATGTTTAAGCTGTTCACAAACAGACGTGTGATTTCAAAGGAAGACTCGAGTGCTAATATCAGTCTGATGTTTTCTTAACCAATATTTTACCACTTTCTGTCTACTTAACTGAAGAAGGCGGGTGGTATTTTTGCTCATATTGATATATGTTGGATTATTGTAATGTATCTTGTGAGTAGCAAAAATACTTCCATTATCTAATATAATTGTTTAAAAATCAACAACAGAAGTAAAATACAAGAAATTAAAAGTTATATAAACGCTAGGCGCAGCTAAGTGCGAAGTCTTTTTTGAAACAGAAGGAGATGCACGTGTGTATATATACAGTCTGTTGTATACTGGGTAACTTGACAAAACCAAACCTTCGAATAATATGTCTGGGGTCTTAATAACGCGTCTGCTTTTCTGGCATTACTATATGAAGGAAAACCTACTGAAAACAAAATGCCCAGATTATCTGAATTTTGTCGTTGGTTTAATCACTAGGTATTGACTTTACGAATCACGCGGCATTTAGAAGTACATGGAGTACGAGCAATACTGTCAGGATATGGTGACATGTCTTACTGCAATAATCATCATTGTCATATTTCAATTTTAAGATTTTGAACTTATATTCAATAATCTCAATTTCAATCCAAAATCCTGAGATAGATATCTTAGATTCAAATTTGAAATATTAAAGTTTAAGGTTATTGAATACAGTCAATTTACTAAAATGAATTCTCTTTTTCATAGATTCCTGTTCACATGGTTAATTTAGTTATATAACTCCCAGATCACAAGATATTCAATTAAGTGATAAAACAATCTACCCATTGTGAGTTTTAAAGAAGTATGCAGTTATCTTAAAACAATTACAATTGATTACCTGGCAAATTTAACCATAAAACTTAAACACTGACCTATAGTTGGATCATTTATATTGAAAGCTACATCATCACTTCTGCTTGGTGTTTTTCCACCGGATATAATTGTAAAAGTAGAAATTTCATATTACATGTATTAAGAGGTTCTAAATTCACTTCATTGAAGTTTTTACACATGCATTAAGATTTTTTACACATGTATCAAGATGTATTAAATTCACTTCATTGAAGTTTTTACTTCCGTTGTAAATCAAAACACTTTAAATTGTTATTGTGATTTCCTCATCCTTTATTTCGATTTACTAGATTGATCAAATTATCATTGCATTAAAAAATGTAAATAGTGTGACAATTATAATTCTATATCACATTTTGACTTCTTGTTACTAGATATCAATATTCAACCAATTTTACTGCAGGGTATGTGCATTTCGACTATTTATGGTCCTTTGGTGAAGCTCGATGCCAAAATATTTCAAATCCAAGTCCTGTTAATGCTTAAAAGCTGATAAAACAGAAAGCAACCATAAAATATTAACAGACCAGTATTATTATTATACGGAATCATAGATATGTAAGATAAACTATTTTTTAAATCTTAATGAATGCAAGTTAATGCATTAACCATGTTAATCTGCATTTAAAACCTAATGAAAAAAGGCAAATTCCGTTAGAAGCAGAGTTATGAATAAGTCATAAAAAATAAAATCTTATCTGTATTAACTGAACTAAACAGCGAAACATTAAGATAGAATTGATAAAATGTATTATTATAAGCATCTACAATTTTTCAAATGTTGATTACGATTTAATGGGATATTTCAGAATTACATTGTCAATTCAAATTATCTATTAACAATAGCAACGTACATTGATGACTCTGTTCTCCTTTCTATATAAGAAAAATTGATATCATTTCAACCCTCATTTTCAAAAGAAGAAGAAAAAAATTAGTAAATCTTATCTGAACCCGCATGGCCAAAAAGTAAAGGTAAATTATCAACAAATAAACCAGGCGTATAATTTAGTACACACGACGTGAGTTCAGTCCACACTAGACTCGTCATGTGCGCTCGGATGAAACAGTTTGGAATCAAATCAATAACAAAACCGAAGAATATTGATAACAAAAACAGATTAGTTTAATGTGTTGAACTCTTTCAGGTTTACAAAAAAAATACATATGAGTAAAGATGTGATGAAATATGGAAGATGATATTTTGACATACATGTATATCTAATGTAAAGGTTACACCAGTTCAACAAGGAATGGCTAAAACATAACCAACAAAGGAGGAAGAAATGAACAATGTTTTAACGAATTCAACTATACATCAAATTCTACACTATGTGGAGAGGAACACTACTGTTAAAACAACTGATGCATCCTTTACAATGCATTAGTATCATTAATTAAAGTTTAAACTAGCTTAAATATGCCTAGGTTTTGTCGGTCTTTCTTTAATTGAACAATTTTGATCACATAAGCGTCTTCCGCCTCATTGTTTGGGCAGAGCATTAAGGTATAGATAAAGACAAGAACTGATGTCATTTCTGAATTGGGACATGATCATAAACATGTGACAAGCTCAAACAGCTCGTTGTATGCCTTATCCCTCCATATAGTTATGTTAATTGAAATATAACTTCAAATTAAAACAAAAAGACATACACAGATAAACTGTCCCAATTCTTAAACAATACGAATGTCTATTTTGCACTTTTTCATTGGATCACTGAGAGTGAAGGCATATAAAAGCAAATGAAGCTATTTCCAAATATGCATTTTAGTTTTACGTAGCGTTTTTACTTTGATTAACAGAAAATAAGTTTAAATTGAAAAACAAATACTAATGTATAGAGACAATGGTAGCTAATAAAATTGAGAATGTAAATGGGAAATGTGTCAAAGATAAAACAACCCGACCAAAGAGCAGAAAACAGCCAAAGACCACCAAACTCTAAACTCCGAAACATATAAATGAACTAAAATTAAAACAAACACACACGACTAACAAAAGCCAGAGTCGGCGGGGTTAAGCATGTTTTGTGAGATCTCAACCCTCCCCTATATCTCTAGCCAATGTAGAATTAAGAAATACACAGCAATGCACACAGTAAAACCCAGTTAAAAAGAAGTCCGAGTCCGATGTCAGAATATGTAACAGAAGAAACTAAACAAAATGACAATGACACATAAATTAATAAAGGACTACTAGCAGTTATTGACATGCCAGCTCCAAACCTCAATTAAAATGATTGAAAGATTATGTCTTCATCATATGAAAATCAAGTACAATCCCTCCAGTTTGGGGTTTAGTATCATAAAATCATAAAATATATGCGAAGAACATAACCTGTATCATGCCAACAACTGAATTTAGAATAATGTGTTTATTTCCGATGCAAAGAACCTATGAGTGACCCTATGACACAAGACCGTATGTTGAACTGTAGATATCTTTTCTTTGATTGTACCATCTTGTTGTTGCCTTAATAAGGTATACGCCACCTCTTCAGAAATTCACATTAAAGTAAGAATCCAAATGAAGTGGATAATATGAGATAAATGTTAAAAAGACACCAGTTTGTGTCAAGTTGACTTTTTACCAAATGCAACTTAGCCGTTTTCTTTTAATTCCAAACACAACGCATGTCACCTATAAAGCGTGTGCTAGTCAATTTCATGGATTACCCAGCAGTCTTTTCTCACTGAAAATTAGTGTTTTTGATTGGTTTAGTCCTTTGAACTGTCAA